CGTGTTTGTTAGACTTGCTACGCACTGAAACAAAAAACAATGCAGCTGCATGCAACAAAATGTCATGAATATCGGACATGCAAAGCTGCACAACACCAAAGTAAACGGCGCATAAGAAGTTCGTTGCATACTTTTGGACACCTATAATTCCTATCGCCAGGGATTTCTCGCGGTGCAGTTCGGCATCCATGCTCAATGAGACACAAACAAACAAGCGGCAACAGCAGCAGCAACACCATGGAGACCGATGTTGCCCAACCCCTCGGGGTTCGGCTGCCAGAGCCAAGCAATTCAAAAGGGGTGAATAAGCTAAACATGACCCCCAGCGATGCACAGATCCAGAATCCACGGATAGTGGGGCATGGCATGGCATAGTGCTGCGAAGGCGGTGGAGCAGCAAGAAGGATGCTGCTTTCATGTCTCCTGTGGCGGCCAGCGACCACGAAAATAAAGCGTGGCAAATACAAATAGAAATAAGTCAAAATGTATCCAAGGGAAACACATTCGCAGCGGAAACGGATGCGAAAGCGGGCAAATGCGTCAGTTCACAATGCTGTATGTGCAGCAGCATCTGCTGATGTTTGCTTAATGAATTGAATCTTCTATTTATATGATTCATTTTTATTTCAACATTATTATTTTTTACCACAAAAGGAAATGCGCGCAGATAGACAGCGAAAAAACAAACAAATGAAACAATTAAAATTAAAGGCACCCTTGGGAGCCAAAAAAACAAAATCCTTATCGAGGGGTAGAAAAGTGTACAACAGTAGTCTCAACTTGGCCATGCCCTCGGAAATTTAAAAACAATAACGCAGACATTAGAAATTGGCCCAAATGAAGTATTCAAGTCTATAATACTATGTCCAGAACCACAAACAAAGGATTTGTAAATGGAACTTAACTGATCTGAGTGAAAATGGGCGAGAGAACGGTAACAGAGTTTAGCTAAGAAGGTCTTTTTGAAATTAATCATATTTATTTGGCCATAAAGGAGTTATCTTTTCTGACCACAAGCCCAGTCACAAGAAATTGAAATATTCGGCTTTTTTATGGTTTTGGGACACAATAAAAGAGCGCTTTCTGGCAATTTGTTCACCGTGTCCTGCCTTTGATCAGATTTGCGTATCCCAAAACATTTACGCTTCGAAATCAAACAATTCATCACGAGGACATGGCGCAATAGAACTTTTGTGCGCGCTCCTAAAACCGCAAAACCAAATCATCATCAGTTTTATCAAACAACCCATTCATCCCCGACTAAAATGCCATTTGATAACCTCAAACAAAAAATGCGGGAATTATAAAAACCAAAAGTGGGGGTTGCGAAAAAAAAAAAAAAACGAAAAAATGAAAAAACGAGACAAGATTGGACAATTGCATTCGCTTTCGATGGAGAATCTGCGGTCGCACGCATAAATCTGTTGCTGTTTTTGATTTCACTCGCCGCGGATAATGAAATTAATCGTCTGTAATGGTTTATTGTGTGCGGCGATGGCTGATTCTGTGTTCTGGCCAGGCCAAAACGGCCCCGACCAAGCCAGCCAACCAAAAATGACCGACGGCCAGATACAAATTCGGTTTGATTGCTCTGCTTTTTTTCCTTCGCCCCCCAGAAAATATATTGAATTGCCATTGAATGTCGCGTTGCCATAAATAAGGCGCTCTAATGGGGCGCGGTCCATGCAATTTTTTGTGATTTAGTGGGGGCTTTTGGGTTCAAAGCTATGCCATCTAGCTATACCCTCGTCGCCAAGTCGTATATCAATGGATTACTTTAAAACGTCGAACCGACTGTCACGCTTCTAAACTAATAACGTTGCAGTAATCGGCATAAATCCATGAAAGAAAATCCCATTAATCCGCCCCCCGGGACATCAGCATTTTTGATGTTTCCCCATCGAAGTGGGCGCTGGAAAGAAGAAAGGATATTCTCACAGGACACCAGCCACACGTCGTGCCCCGTTGTCTACTGTCTACTGTCTACTGTCTACTCTCTACTGTCTGCGGCTTATAAGCTTCATTCGCCGCCACACACTTCAAATTCAAATTACTACACATTATATAATATCCTGCAGGCTATCAGCACACCACACGTACTCACTGATGAAAGGAGGAGTTCCTAGAAAGGACATGTTGGCTCAATACGACATAACAACGTGGCCGCAGGGCTAGAAATCTTCCTGCCGCTTGGACTTCAGTCCTACCACGTGGCTTTCCTGTCTCCGTTCCTCCATTTCGACGTGGTAGTTGATTAACAAGACATCATTTGAGTTTAAATACACATGGTAGTCGAGGTGTGGGAGGAACAGTGGGTGAGTTATGAAATTGGCCAAAACCCATTGCTAACGAACCATTTTCAAAGGTGTCTAAAAAATGCGCCTATAAGTTATACCTCAAAAAGCAATTAAAATTGGGAAACATATATAATTAAATACTTTTAGACACATCAATTTTGATCCTTGTAGCATTTGTAACGCTTTCTGAGTGATAAAGTTACAATGTATGTGAGTTCCTTTTTGGAAAGTACCTATTTTTGAAGCCTGGCTATTGTTTTATCCGCAACATGCCTTTGTGCTCACAAAAGTTGGTGGAAAATACTTTTCTCTACAGTTTTTACAACGAAAGCTCCACGTAGCATAACTGGCGCACACAACTGTACTTTCACACACAATTTCAAGTTATAATCAGTGCTCATTATTATACCAGACACGTTTTCAGATTTCGCGTGATTATGCGCCGCGGCTCGGCAACATCTTTGCAAGTTTTTGGGCAAACACGCAGGCGGCCAAGGAGCGAAGTCAAGGAATTAAACTTGAAAATAGCTTAAGAGATACATTCTGTGTATCCAGCAGATAGGCGAAGCGATGAGCATGTTGCCTAGGTCCTGACCGAGCTGGATATCCCTGCTCTACTCGGGGCTCAGACCATAATGCTTATTGTTGTCATTTGCCCGGGCGCCTCAAGTGGGCGGGGCCGGCGAAAAGTTGGCGAAAAATATGCAAATTATAATGAAAAACTTGACACTTTACATGCAAGGCAACAGCAAGAACAACGGGAAGGCGAGGTCGGGATTTTCCGGACTGCTTTCAGCCCTCGGATCTCCGTTCTTGGCCTCCAAGCCGATTCAAATCTGTGGCGGCCGATTAAGCGGGCCAAATGAAGCGCTCGCACTGCCTCCGCATTTTAATTAAGCAAGCAGCCAAATTTTTGCCCCACCATCACCGGTTGTCGTTGTTCGTTGTTCGCTCTTCGTTGTTGGTTGTCGCCTCCGTGCGAAAAATGGCACAAAAGCTGGGTGGTTCTAGGTGGCACTGGTGGCCCTGGTGGCCCTGGTGGTGCTCATCACCACCGGAGATCCCGAATTCCCGTAGCATTTGCATAAAGTTTTGCTGCAGCTGCAGCTTTGTTTCGCCGGGCTTTTGATTTCATCCACAAAAGTCAACGAATGTCTTCCGAAGTTATCAGAACTCGAGGTGTCAGGCGAATTATCTGGCTTTAAGTAAAGCAACTTGGATACGGTGCGAAACAAATTGGACCTGGATTTCAAGCATGAATATGCAGGAGCCCCTAATTTTGACTGCGAAATGTTACCGAATCGATTAACATACATTTATGAAGGATTCGTGTCCTTGTAAATGAAATTGTTCATTTGAAATTGTGAAACTGCTGCAGATACAAAATATTGTAGTATGCTTTTAAACAGCTTCAAATCGCTACAGAATTCCGTTGTTCAAATATTTGTGTGGGCTAATGTGGTAGTTATATGAAGTTAGTATTGTAGAAAAATCCAAGAGACCCAATTTCATAATGTTTCTCCGCCTCCAGCTAAGCCGCACTTACAATCAACTTTAACAGCTCTTTTAACTCCAAACCTCGAAAAATTGGCCAAACTTTCTACGATTTCATTCGCACACACTGAAAACACACACACACACACACACAGAGAGAGAGAGAGAGAGCAATGGAAATTATGGCGGAAAATTACCTTAACGAAAGGGCTTCCGCAGCACTACGACTTTTGGGGCACGTTGCAACCTTTGCGACCCAACTGTACCCGCTTGTAAGCCACTTGTAGTGCGGCAATGGCAGTCTGGGCCGAAAACAAAAGCAATTAGATGTCGCCAACTGGCTGACTGGGATTGTGGACGAGAATGGGGATGGGGATTGTGGATGTGCCGCAGGAAGTTGAAACGAGTGGGTTAAGAGCTGTTGGCTGTGTGGGTGTAGTTGCGAATGTGTGTGTGTGAGTGTGAGTGTGAGTTTTCACGCAGGGACCCCAGTAAAAGTAAAAAGTTTGCCAGCGCGATTTTCTTGGTGAAACTATAAATTTACAAGCCACAATCAGGGGCGCCTCCGTGATGTGCGTGTGGGCTTGAGAGTGTATTAAAAAGCGTTCAGGTGAACCACCTACGTGTTACCCACTACCCACCTGCCAGGTCCCCGCTTTCCACGACCTGACAATTTTCAGCACTTGAGCGTTTATTTTGCCGGCTCTACGGCTCCGGTTGTTGTTGATTTTTATTGCCATCGTTGGCGTTGTTCAACGTTAGTTATAAAAACTTTACCGCCGCCCGGAGGTCCATTGTGGGTGTTGGCTGATTGTCGAGGGTTAACATTGGGACTGCTGGGGCATTTATCTCCGCCATTTGGTCCCCTCGAATCCTGAATGGATTTTAAGTGGAATAAGTTTAATGATCGAAATTATTCAACGTGTGCCTTGTGTTTTGGCTTCTCTGCCTGGCTTATGCCCGGCTTAAAGTGGAACAGTGCCATGTTTATGACAGGCCGGAGTTTTGGTCGTGGTAAAATAAACATATTTGGCTTGGTGCTGTTAAGTGTGGCCCAAGTTTGTCCGGCTCTAAACCACATAAACTACATGTGATTTGTTGTTAGAAGGGTCTATTGACATATGGCAGTGCGTATTGTGAAAAGATGCCTCTTAAAAGTGTTCCTTTTTTTAAAAAGCTTCATACAAAGTGAAATCTAAGTGCTCCAAATTGAAATGACAACTTGTCAAACCAAAAACATCGGTTTCCCATTCAAATTAGACGAAATTTATTTTTTCTGAATTATAGCCACAATGCAATGTACTTTAAGAACTCCGCTTTTATGGCGCCCAACCTTAAGCAACTTAAGGATCACCAACGGCTACTCAAAGGATGCCAAGACCCTCAAGCGCTTGGGCACCAGTCCCCGGAATGTTCGCGATCACCCCGAAGGATGTACGCCGCAAACTCTAAACACAACGGCCTTCAGCTCCCCGGATTTCATACCCCCGTCAACCTACAGAATCGTGGACGAAAAGGAGCAACTTGGACCCAAGGCGGGAAAAAAGCAAACCTACAAGAATCCGGAGTACTACAGCTATTATCGCTACTCGTACTACGACCTGAAGACAATCGTGGATACCATTAAAAAGAAGCAATCAACTAAGAAGTAGTAACAAACCGCACCAGCTTAGACACACTGAAGAAAATTCCAACCACAAGCTGCCAGTAATTCGCGATACTTTTCCAGAAACTAATTCAGCTAATAATTATAATAATTCGATGGTAAAATATCTAGCCAAGTATGACTGTTGTCGAAATGAGTTTGGCATGCCATTTTCGCTCAGTGTATGAGCTGCTCCGCTCGCTGACATGCCGCCTTATGACACTAATCGTATTAGTTGGCTGCTCGTTAGTTAGGCGGTGCTATCTGCCCCAAATGCGATTTCCGCACAATGAGCCGCTCGCCGTGTCCGTCGTGCAGTTTCCGGATTACGTGCGGCATTCTTCGCACAGGTGACATAATGATTCGGACTAGCCGGCGCCTCGCGGGCGTAATTAGAGGGTGTCGAGGGGTCGAGAGAGGTCGAGGGAGTTCGAGGGAGGTTCAGAAAGCGCCGACTTGTGTGCGCCGGACAAAAGATGCGATGCTGCCCCAAAAGGGGGCAGGTGCACCTTGTAATTTAGCAAATCGGTTTAGCAACTCATCGGGAATAGCCAGCGTGGAGGCCTTGGGGAAATGGAGCTCTCGCGACAAACACGCCTTATTAAATCTGCAGACATTAGCCTCTTACTTACACTTGTAGGTGATGTTCATTAGTTTGGCGCACCCAGGAAGGCAGGAGCTCCTAACAAACTAGAAATATATCATAAAAATACTTTTGGTAGAAGCACAAAAGAAAAAAAGAAGGAAAAGAAGTTTGATTGGAGCGATCTTAAGTTTAATATGATATAATAGATATGATATAAATGGCATAAAACAATAACAGGACATATTATAAAGATATCTACACTTATCTATAATATACACATATATAATCTATATGATCTATAGATATATATAATCTATATATATAATCTAATTTAAAATAACAAAGATATGTTTATATATATGATATACAAAGATATTTGATACTTTTTGATATATATTTGATGATATTGTATATGATAGTTTATAAAACTATCTAAACTATCTATTCATATAGAATACGATACTATGCCTCATATATTTTAAGGCCCCCTTCCGATATAAGAAGGTAACTATGAAATGTATGTACTATGTAAAGAAATCCGCTAGAAGTACTAAATAGTTCTATGATTTTTGCAAGCAATTAAGTGGAATATTTATGATATATGGTTGCCCCAAAATACGCAACTGGAAGCGGAATTTCATGAGTGGGGCTTTTAATTGAATCCCATTGTCGGGTGGAACGGGAGTGTTTGTATGGACCATTCGGGCGAACCATTCCCATTCACACATCCCCACCCTGGCAATTTATCAATTTTAATCGCATGCAAATTTTATGCAGGCCGCCATAAGACCCAAGTGACATTTGCTTTCGCTAAAGCCGGGCACACAATATTATTCCCAAGAAAATGAAGAGGGGCAGAAGCACTGGGTGTGTGAGTGTGTGAGTGTGCGAGCGTGTGTGTTTGCTGCTCAGTTTTGTTAACAACTTTGGGCCATTCGAAGGGCTTCTGAAATGGCTGCTGCTAATCACATGGCACTCTTTGTGATTGCGACCCGCCGCCCCTCGAAGTTAACCATCCTGCGCAATATTTGCATTTTGGCAACATCATTTTTGCTGTTCCAAGTGCCTAAGCCTGAAACATGGCCAAATCAAAACATTTGCATAATTAATGAGTGCTGGAATGCTTGGTGAGCCGTAAGGAAACTATCAGTTGGAAGAAATTGGCAGAACGTTAAAGTTAAACATGCAAGCCATGGAAAAAGCAGAAAGCAAATTACTTGCAATTAGTGGTATGTATGGCTTGGTTAATTCATTTCCAGAAATTATTTCTATATTTCTGGTTGGCAACATCGTAACAGCTCTGCAATTCTTAACTCTTAACTTTCTACCATTACAATCTTCAGTTACAATTAGTTTATTTGAAAAATTATTATTATAATTTGGTCGCATCAGCAAATTGCGAAGTCCCTGTGAATAAATCAAAGTTTTCCAGCCACAATCCTTTGCCAAATAGTTGCGCTTTTGACGTGGCATTTTTTCCGCATGTCTGAGGATTCTTGGCCTGAAAATGAACGACTAACGCTAATTTCCGTCTGGTGATTGATACGAGACCCCGGGCCAATGACACACGTCATCCATCATGGAAGACAATGGCAACTGGGTGGGGGAAAACTGGGGAAATGGGTAAATGGGCGAAGGGAAACGCTGGGAAATGCGCTTATCATGTAACGGTTAACGGTGAATTGACTGGAAAAGTTCAAAGGTTTCGCCTTTGATTTGATGGATGCGAAGCGTTGGCAAGTGCCTCAAGTGCAAATTAAAGCCACCGAATGGCAAGTTATATATCGCATAGTATATAGTATTTATATGTGTGTACCTGCGGGCTTGATTTTCCAATTTACAGTGGCGGTAAAAGTTTGCGGGACACGTATTGCGATGGCAGCTGGTTTGCTTGGTCGGAAAAGTTGGGCCGGCAAATGCGAAAGCAACACGTAAAAACAAAATTGCAAATAAATTTTAATTGTTTTGAGCAATTAAAAATTAAATTTAAAAATAGTGCAAGGAGCGAGCCAAGCGCCCCGTCTCCCAAAATGCCGCACACAAATTTGCGTGCTTATTCAATTTGCAAAATGTTTGCCAACTACGTGAGTGTGCGAGTACTTTTGCGACCCAGTGTCCAATGGCTACTGCCGAATACTCCTGCCGCTGCTGCTGCCGCTGCTGCTGCTGCTGCTGCTAAACAAATTAAATTAGACAACTTTTATTCATTCGTTTGACATTTTTATTTGTTTTCAAACTCATTTTGCCAGAGCAAAGGCTGCGGACTGGACTTTTTGCCGAATGTCAGCAGGGGCAGGACAGTTGAACAATTAACAACAAATACAATTTGCAGAGTTTAGTTAAAATTTTTACCAACTGCTCCCATTTAATTGTTTCACCTCTCCCCGCCCCATCTCTATTGTTCGAATTTAATTAAATGCCATTTGCATAAACTCGTCATCCCGCCTCGTTTCGGTTGTCAAAGGAATACAAAATTATATACAATTTATGACACTTTCTTTGTGCAAGTGTGGCAGGGAAGGTGGCAGAGCCGAGATAACAATGCTTATCTATCGCTGATAGCATCAAAATACTCGGAAGTGCTAAAAAGTGATAAATATAAGTGTGTTGACTATAAAGGCTGAAGAACTGCAAGCTAGCCCATTCGAAATATCATTCACAGCGAACTAAAAGGCATCCATTTTCTACTCGAATTCAGAATGTGCAAAAAATCCTTACTCATTTTGCTTAACTTACTGTTTGCCAAAGCTATCACAGGCTGCTCTTCAAATGTAAACATAAATGACATGTACTTATGATAACCTTGATAAGGCGCAATCTGTCTTCATCGATGAGTCGTTTTATTTGCAGTCGCCGCAATATCAGTTTGTCTTTCGCAGTGGCAACATCGAACCTTCCGCTCAAAAATATAATCGAATATTCTTATATCTTATCGGCAATGCCACTGAAATATCATCGTTTGCTGCTGCCATTGCTCCTGTTCGCCCACCAGCTGCTGGCTGAAAGTGAATTACACTCCTTTGACTAATCACACTGGACATGCTGGCATTTCATCACCCAAAACCTCCTGTAATTGCAGTTCCGCAGTGCTTTCACTTCACCTGGCTGGGTGCCTATTCGAATCACTCGAACATTCACTCGGAGAACTGTGAGTCCAGAGTGGGTGACTTTAATGAAATACCCTGCGCGGAGCCGCTGGTTGTGACCAGTAAGTGTTCAATGGGCCGAAAGGCTAAGCTAAAAGTGTGTTCTTTTAAAAAACAATCCATTCCAATAACATTTGAATAGCCGACGACACAGTGCCGGATGTGAAGGCGCTGTGGCAAAATTACACCGAGGATCGCGAGAACTTTCTGTGCCAAATGTCGCCGGGTCGGTCATGCGTGAAATACTCGTACATATTCAAAGGCGGAAGTAAGTCCACACCCCTTCGTAATAAAGACATATGATAAACCGAATCTTTCAGTACAAAACATCACGTACATGTGCGCCAATGTAAACAGCACCAACGGATGCTATCGACAGACCCACCCAACTGGCATGGTTGTGGAGGCATGTGTGTGCACCTCCCGAGTGGGCTTGATACCCTGTAATGGCTGCTCGAAATCGCAGAGTGCGCTGATGGGCTGGGCTCTTTGTGTGCTCGGCCTTTATCAATGGCTATATAAATATCGAATAGTTTGAACTACAAATACACACGATTCTGCCTTTATGTAATGTGACATTTCCGGGCTTTTGATTTTGACAAGTTTTTGCACAATTTATGTGCACTCTTTGTAGGCCATGCATTTTCAGTGTTTTTTACTGCCCTTTTTTACGCCCCTCGATGTGGCCAAATAAACTGCCATAATTTATTAGCTCGGCCATTAATCAATTGCAAGTTGATGATGACAATGACGTCCGCTGTGCAAAGCGCATTTCAGTATAGGAATTTTGTTAAATAAATAAACGAAATGCTGTACATAAATCAGGCCACAAATTTTACCCGGAATTGGAATTTATTTTGATGGGACTTAAGCTATTTTTTGCACCCCGCCTAAGCTCAGATACTTTGAAAACATGAAGTGCATGAAGTTTGCATACATAATCCTCTTGAAAGATAAGGTTGTGCAAATCCTATCAAGTTGTATTACAATTAAATTTCCCCCAATAATTACTTTAAATAAATAACAAATGGCCAGACGTTGGGGAAAGGGGCAGCAGTCGGTAAACAATGCAGGCGATAAACGGAAAACCAGCAACACAACTGCTGATGGGACACACTGCGTATGAGAAATGCAGCGAACGAACAGCCAACGGGGCGTATGCGTAATGGCAACTGGACTCTGGCGTGGGCTGTACGGCAGGCTGTTCCGATTGGGAATGCCCAGTGGCACCATCGGGCTCAAATAAACTAATTTTAATGCCTTCCATTGTGGCCGGAGCACGCAGTGCGGCTCAATTGGGATGCGACTGGCAGCGCCAGATTGGCGAAATGGAACGGGTCGGTCGGAGCTGGTTTCATCTCCCGAACTGCACAAGATATTCGAATATTTATTTATTCAAATTGTTCGGTTCTACGCACAGCCTAGCTCACAAGCATAGCGATTTTGATAGGCACAACTAAAAGTGAGTATTTCCTATTAATTGAGGTTTGACTACCGCGCATTTTAATTGCTTAGTTATCCAATAAAACTATTTTTAATTTTTATTCAGCCTTCTAAATATTTATCAACCTTTTCTACGAAATTGTATCTATGCTGATTATTTTATTTGAGCACTATTTCTTTGCTTGCCACTGTACATTTGCAATGCAATACATAAAATGACCAAAAAAGTGCAGAAACTTCAACAGCCATTTGTAAATTATGCCTTTATGCGTGTGTGCATTAACACTCGAAATTCGGAATTTGCTTTTTTCCAACGCCTTTGACAATATTTATTGAAATAAGTTCGTTTAAAATCCTGTTCCAGAAGCGCATCCTCTTACTTTCAAAGAAACAGCAGCCTTTAATTATTCGCAAATCTGATTATGAGTATGTCAAAATAACACAATTTGCCAGATGAAGAAAAATATTTATTTTATATCTTGCACTTTAATTTGGCAATATATTTATAGCCAGCCAAAACAAAATAATCATATAAGGTGCGCGGCATTTACGTAAAGATCTCCACTGGTTGTCATAATAAAACAAACCGCGCAAGAAGATAACTTATAAGCTAGGTAATACCCATAAATAAGGAACAGATTGAATAGTAGTTTTAATGGGTTAAGACTTACAGCTAAGAAACGCACTGTCTCTATGGCTAATACTCTGGATTTATGCATATATGCATTAGCCGAATCCACCGATTGCCAGCCACACAGGGCTTATCTTCCAGTGGACTGGAGAGGGGCAGTGTTAAAAATAAATAAATAAACATAATTTGTGCAGTTGCCGTTTATTGGGTGGCAGCAGGACTCGCAGACTAGGAGTCCCAATATTTTGCCATGTTTATGCAGTGGCCAAGTTGTTGTTGGCTATTTGTTTAGCATTTTGCCCAGACAGTTTTATGTACCGATAGATACGGAGCCAGTGGCCAACGCGTCGTATGCGCAATGCACAGTTCGATGGGAGGTTAGATGGGCTATAATTTATTTGTCTGTTTTATTGGTTGTTTAACAAGCACTAACAAAAATAAAACTAATGATAAACGAAATGTGATAAGCGCTGAAAGGGGTAATGAGTGATCGATTGAGCGATAGGGGGATTTGGGAAATTGATTGGTTTATGATTTGATTTATCAGGGCGTAATCCGCTACTAAATGGCCAGTAAGCTGAGGATTATTTTACCCTCTTTGCTTGAAACTAATTGAAATCTTGCCTTAAGTGTGGCAATATAAATATTTTCATGATTAAGTTTGAATTGCCTTCGAGTAACTGCTCGTGCATCATAACAAACAGTACGTTCTTATGCAAAGTTAAGCCTCTTCTAGTGCCTTAAAAAGTTCAAAAGTAGTTAAGCCATATTTTGTGAAGCATTCAAGCCAACTTCAAGACAGAACTCTACAGCTTAGATTATTTTCCGTGTGCGCACTCATTCATATTCACCACCACGGTCAATTATTCATTGGCAATTTTTTTGTTTTGCATCTGCGATGGCAATTTGCAAATGAACCGGATTCGGATTCGGATTCGGCCCGCTGACGATGTGCCGTGTGTATTTATTGTGAGTGTTTTGAGGGACAAAAACAACTGGGCAAGAATGAGCCAAGGAAACCGCAAAAACCGCACCGAATTTAGCACTGTGCTTGACCAGAAAAAGCGATGGATTTTGCGGAGGTTTCGGGGGCCTAGATCGAATGCATTTCAATTCAAAGCCGCACGGCCAAGTGAAGCGTGTCAGGTCGGGGGTCACCGAAACAAAAATAGGCGTGGGGAGGTCAGAATCCAGCGGGCATGGTGGCCAAAAAGAGTGCGCTAGAAGCGAAAGGATGCAGCATACAAATATCAAGTATACGCTGCGTGGCACATGACATTCCTTTGGTTATTTATACTATGTGGCATCGAATCGAAATGCAAATGAAAAGCACCGCAGAGCAGGACCTGCCGTTAATTGCCAATTTATAGCAGATACCCAACCACGCTGCCACGCCCCCACAGCGCCCACTTGCACGTGCTCGCCCAAGTGAAAATTATCATTTCCAGTGAAACTAAATCCCCACCACCCACCGCCCCCCGCCCCCCGCGCCACAAGGCAACAAAGCAAAAGGCAATGCTGGAAAAATGTACAGACACCCCACAAACGAAAGAAAAGAAAGTAAAATGCTGAAGGGTACGGAAGCGAAGTGAGGAGCTGCGGGAATGGAAAGCCGCACAAAGTCGACAAAAGTTTAGACGGGGACAAACCGTCCGAGCCGACCGCAAAAGGCAACAGCCAACCCGACCCATGCCCCTTGCATACCCCTTGAATACCCCTTAAATCGGGCGCTGCGATAGCCAAGGAAGATATGGACGAAAATCGGGCTAATGCATTTGACAGAAGAGGGAATACCCTGAGCACACCTATTTTCCATTGCGTTCGGAAATAAACTCCTTACATTTCACTTAAAGGTGTCCAAAAGTATGCAATCATTTTTTAGGTGATGGTACTCATTCCGCTGATCATTTGAAAATGATCAAGCAGGCAACTTTCGAAGCGGAAATCACTGCGTTTTCAGTCAACTCAAAGCATATTCAGAACTCTGGAATATCTCATACCTAGCAGTTGGCATCCTCGCTCCGAAATGTCCTCGCAACGGCAGTGCGTCTGCGTTCCCATTGAGACCATCGACCTGTGCAGCCCAGAAGCTAAGCCGGCAAAGCGCAGGTGCCGAGAGCTCGTGGATCCGGACGATCCCTACAGGTGCCCCATTTGCATGGAGTATGTGCGACGACGCCAACCAGGTGCCACCAAATGTGGCCACGTCTTCTGCTTCGGCTGCATCGATAAGGCCATTCGCAGTTTCGAGAAGTGCCCCATCTGCAACAGACAACTAACTATTGGACAAATACTGCCCATATTTCTTTAAAGTTATTGAAATTTTTGTTTTACGTTGCTTGGTTATGTTTTATTAAATTGAATTCCTCGTTATGTTCAACCAATTACGTAGCGTAGAAATGTGATTTATCAATTTACATTCCGATTAATACAGCGCATGGACTCGTGGCCCAAAAAAGGGTACAAGCATGAACCCAACCAGCGATTTATCGCATTTTGCTGCGGTCGGCATTAGTTACGCTGAATTTTATCACAATTGCAATTCTTTCTAGTCGAGGACACCCCCGAAACAGCGGCCGCCAAAAAGGATTTCATTTTCATTTATTTTCGGTTGCCTGCCCTTCTCCGTTGGGCCGCAGCCAATCCTCCAGCTGAATCCAGAGTCCAGCGTCCAGACCCACCGCTGCCTTGGCAACTGTCCGAGCCCGAATCCGAATCTCGATTTTGGCCAACGCTAATTTCCACGCTATGCCTTTAAATAATCATAATTTGGGACTTTTGTTGCTGGTGCTGCGGCCACTGGTGCTGTAAATGATTAACGCTGCTGCTGGATTTTCGAGGGCTAAATGCCCGTGGGGAGACCCTTTAAAGTGCCCTCCGTCGACTTGCATATTTTCAAGCCTGATTGCTCATTAGCAAATTCATTTGGCTGCACTCCAACCAAAAGGGGAAGTCCCTGAGTTATCAGTTAGCAGGCATTAAGTGTGGCGGGCAAATGTTAAACGCTGAGAGAAAATTCGATGGCGTAGGTTCCCTATTCTGAAACGCGAAGGTCGTTAGCTTTTCCCTATAAGCTGAGCATTTTCCTGATAAATTAACGGATTATCTGGTCTTTCGTAAGCACTCACTTATGCAAATCTTAAATTCTAAGTAAAAGTTCTTAACTATAATTGTTTTTATACCAGCAGTAATGCAATCCAATCCTTTATAAAAGATATTCAATTGGATTCGCACAAGTCAAAGATTTCATTCATTAAAAATTATTTCCCATGTAAGTGTATTGCCAAAGTCGAAAAGTGCAAAAATGATTCAAAAATGGCCTAATGACTTGTGCAAAATGTCGCCGAATTGAGATATTCGCACTCTCCGCATTTTTAGCCGGCAAGGGTCCTTCAAGAAGCATCCTGCCTTATCTCCTGCTCCTTGGAATTCTGCTGGAGTCTAGATGGGAACGCAAATGTCGGCTTAATTGTCTAAAATTCGAGCAGGGAGCTATGCAATGGTATGAGCGGGAGGGGTGGGGAGTGAGCCGGATAGTTGATGAGCTGAGGGATGAGCATTAACCCAGTTAACCCATTAAAGCCGTGTCATAAATTCAAAGCCACAACAGGGCAGCAGCAACAACAGGAGGCGCCTCTTGCTTTGTGGCCTTTTGTGGGCCAGGCTTGGCCCCTTTTTCGACTCATTAAAGCCAACTTCACGCAATTAGGCTAATAAGCCGCCCTCGCAGCAGTGCTGCAGCAACAAGAAAAAGGGCCAAAAGCCAGATTGGAGGCGAGTGGGCCATGTGACGGGGCTAAGAGCTGGAAGTGCTGGAACTGTCAAGTTTGTACCAAACCCTTTCCCTGCTCCCATTTCGCACTCTCGCTCAATTAACTCAAGTATCGCTTGATGTGTGAGGGGTCAAGCTTGAAAATAATGCTTAAAAATAACTCCCAAGGCAATATACTGATTTTTTATAGTTGAAACTATCGATGGGTCCGTCCAAACGGGTTATACAAACGGGTTTATATTAAATAAAAGTCGGGCAGCCATAAATGTAGCACTTTTCAATCATTTAATGCTGTGCAGCTGGGAGACGATCCATAGAAGCCAGTGGAACTCCCCTTACCATTGACAACTGGGTTGGTCCATTGTCCGTAGAACTGCCTTCAATGTGTCGTAGCCCAGCTGCCCGCGGAACACTAAACCAAAAATTTGGACAAGCCATGGACATGGGGACAATATTGGTATATGAAGAAACACCGAAACGGACACGTAACAGAAGTAAGATAGAACGAGAAACGTGGAAACTAGCTAGCGCCACAGGTGCGGACGATCCAGATCCGGAGAGCCCGGCCCACTGCTGGACTACTTGCTATCCGGACAGGCCATCTGGTACAGGAACTGCACGATGGTGCGCGTGGGTCTGCCGGTCATCCGATCCTTGAGCAGATATGGCAGCGGATTGTGGCGCGTCAGCATGCCCACATTCCGGATATCTATGTGGGCCCAGTCCGCGCAGGGAACCAGCTCGTGCAGCACGGCGGCGGCAATGCAACTGGAGGCGGGACCAATGCCCCTGTTGCTGATGTCGTAGGTGAGATTCGGGGACACCAGCTGCTTGAAGTAGCGCCACAAGGGCAGCCTCCACAGCCGATCTCCCGTAAGGCCGCCCGCCTTCTCGAATTGCTTGGCGATGAAGTTGGAGTTGGTGAACAATCCCGCGGCGGATTCTCCAAGGCCAGCACAAACGCCGTAGCCCAACGTGGCCAAGTCCACCACCAGGCGGGGCTTGTAGGTGGTCTGGGCAAAGAGCAGGGGATCAGCCAACACCACCGTTCCAGCTTTGCTCACATCCACAATACCCAGCGTCTTGCCATTCAGCAGGGTGACCACATCGCCTGGCTTGACCGCCATTCCCGATGGCATATTCTCGCAGAGCGGCAGAACGGCCGAGATGTTGACAGGCAGCGAGAGGGCGGCCGCAGCTCGAACGGCGGCCACACAAACGGCTGCTCCGGCCATGCAGCCGCGGTACATGTGCAGGCAATCCTTTGGGCGCAGGCACAAGCCGCCGCTGTTGTAGGTCAAACCCTTGCCCAAGAGCAGTATGGGCCGATCCTCTGGCGCTGTGCCGCAGTAGCTGACCTCCAGGACCACCGGTGGCTCGCAGCTGCCCTTGGCTATCATTAGGAACGAATTGAGGTGATTCATTTCTATCCAATCCATGGATCGCACCTCAACGGAAACGCCGCACGGACACAGGGCATCCACTGCCGACTGGGCGAATATGGTGGGTGTCATTTGATTGGCCGGCGCATCGCTCAATCTGCGTGCCAAGTTCTGCGATTCGGCCTTGAAGAGACCCCTCGTCCAGGCATCCACATCCGGAGAGTCGTACAGATCCAGTTTGGGCACATGAGTGCGATCCTGCTTGCGCTTGTTGCTGTTGTAACGCCAGATGGCCAGGGCACTGCCCTCCGCCGCCTGCTCCGGATATTCCATGGAGTCCACAAACACCTCCGTGCAACCCTGAAGCTGCAGTGCCCGTGCTCCGACGCCAGCGGCCACTCGGGCATTCTCCATGCCCTCATCGATATTCTCCAGGTCATTGAATCCGGCGCCTTCTTGGCCCAGACCCACCACCGCCACTGCCCGGAACTCGGCATCCACGTTCATGAAGACCTTACCCTTGCCCAGGTCCCCCTTGACTCCGGTTTCGCGCAGCAGCTCGGACACCTTGCCCTGAGTTCGGTCGTCAAACTTCTCGCCGCTGGACGTCATCTTGACCTCCTTGCTGTCGCCCTCCTTGGAATAGACGCCCACCACCACGCCCTTGATAACAGTCTTGTTGTCGCACTTGTCTGCTGATCCTGCCAATCCCCTCATGATCTCAAAATCTTGTCGCTGAAGTCTGTGGTTAAAAAGTTGTGCGCCAAAGAGATTATACGATTGCCAGGGTGCCGAGAGCTTCTGGTATAATCTTGGATTGCGCGTAAAAGCGCTGATCATGCGTGTGGATGCCATCTTTGGGATACACGGTCTTCGGTTTCCTGGTTAGTCCGCCCTTGCGCACGTCTGCGCAGCTTTTTTTTAGTGGTGGAGAGGGATAGTTAAATTTTTGACTACGAAGTGCCTAACAATTTTGGAAAGACAGTAGAAAGTGTGTTCCTCTGTTTGGTCTAAGGGTAGACTAACTAGCTCCTCCAAACCGAGACGCTTTTAGACACGCCCTCTTCGTTTGGCAACAATTAATATTAAACATATTATAAACTCCCTTTTGAGAACCTAATTAAGCTCAGTGCAATAAGCAGGTAAACAGGCATTACAATTGTAAAACATTCGACACACATGTATTTACGCCAAAAAAGATGTCATATTAACATTCACTCTCCATCAGAGTCGCCTTGATTTGAGGGCTTGAGGCTGCCGAAGACCTTGGCTGGAATGGCCTTCTGCTCAAAGCGCAGTTTCTTCATGACGAGGCCTTCCTCGTCGGTTTTTGTGGCCGCTGCACTGGCCGTGTTCTCGTTCGACATCTCGTTCTCCTCATCGTCGTCCTCCTCCTCGTCCTCGTCGCTGTCTCCAATGTCAATTTCATCAGGATTGACAACCGTATCCTTTTTGTCCTTGGCACCTCCCTGCGTCTCGCCGCGCACAAACATAATGTTTGAGGCCGCCTTCTCGGTGGGCTTTTGTTTGGCCTCGGCTGCCGCTTGGCGTGCTTTCTCCTCCAGCAATCGCATGGCATCCGGTCCAGCTCCTGCTCCGGCATCCGCAGCCGCTCCGTTGTTTGTGCTCAGGAATTGGGCGGCCATCATGTTCACTTGCGTATTGTAAGTGGCCTGCACGGAGCGCTTGATGCGCAGCATTTCGCGCATTGTGTCTTCGTTGCCGTGACGCACCTCGAACTCCTTCCAAGTTTGCCAAAAGTCAGCGGTGATGCGGGGATCACAAACCTGAAGAAGACAAGAATTATTAGCATAAGTGAAGCAATAGCTGTGTATATATTAACATACCTGTGAGCAATGCGCATAGATGGCTCTAGCACGATCCACTTCGCCCAACTTCGTTTCCAACTCCGCGAACTTGACACACATTTGGCGCATATTCTGCTCGGGCAGCGATTCGATGGCCTTCTCATAGATCTCGCGGGTGCGTGGCAGGCCATAGATCTCGGCTGCCTTCTTTACAAATATGTTGTACATGTCGAACATCTCCTCCTCTTTAACAGCAGCCGTGGCGCGATCATAAACCGACATGGCATGCCGGGCGAGACCGTGCTCCTCTTCCAACTTAGCGTACAGTAAGTAAAAGTACTTGGCGTGTTCGGGAGGACACTGATCC